GCAGCCGCTAGCTGTTGCTCACAAATATTATGGATGAGGACCCAGCTGAAAGACTACGGGTTCACATTCTCACACATCCCGATCTACAGCGACTCTCAAAGTGCAATAGCCATCACGTGCAATCCGGTCCATCATTCAAGGACGAAGCATATTGACCTCAGATATCATTTCATAAAGGATCACGTTGAGAAAGGCACCGTGGACATGTACTTTGTGTCTACGGAATTGCAACTGGCTGATATTTTCACAAAGGCCCTGGATGAAAAGAGATTCAATTTCCTGATCTCTAAGTTGGGAATGCTGAACCTGAACGACTGAGTAACATCTGAACTGTGTGTGTGCGTGTGCTTTCATGTTTTGCATTTTTGTTATTTTTGCATCACATTTTTCTCTCTCTCTCATGCATCATTTTTTTTATCGCATATTTTCCTTTTATTTTTTCATGCATCATTTTTTTTCAATGCATAAGTTGAGGGGGAGCTTTTCTAAACTGTGCATAAATTGAGGGGGAGCTGTTCAAAAGTGTTCATAAATTGAGGGGGAGTTTGCTAAAATTTTCATTCCTTAAGGGAAGCAAGTGTTGAGGGGGAGCATTCCTTTTAATTCTGAATTCAGACTGATTTGGGCTCGTTTAAACTTTCAAAAATTTCCCGGGCCTATTTAAAGTCAACAAACGCGCAACCCCCTCCCCATTTCTTCCTTGCGCGAAACCCTTGAACTCCCTCAGAGCTAAACTGTCATTTCTCCCCTTCGCAAACTCAAGCTCTCGATCTTCCCCCCAAATCGGTAAATATGTCCTCACATTTCTTCGATTATCCATTTTACTGATGACAAACAGGTACATAGCTTGAAGTGATGACGAAGAACAGGTGACCTTGGTTGATTTTCGAAGCTTGCGCGGTCAGTAAAGGTTGCGCGATTTACAGCCCTTGCGCGATTGTCTGAGTTGGGCGTTAACTCTTGCGCGATCTGGGGCTGCAAAATAGGTTAAGCCCTGCGCGATCTGGACAGGCTTGCGCATTTTCACTCCTTGCGCGGTCTTCATTCTTACGCGACATACACTTTAGCGAAATCAGGGGCTAGCGCGATGAGATAGGCTGCGCGATCTACCCTCCTTGCGCGATCTGAGCCTGCGCGATCCGAGCTTGCGCGATTCGAGCATGCGCTATAGGGTTGCTGCGCGATTTAGGCCATTGCGCAATTAGAGCACTTGCGCGAACTGTCCTGCGCGATCCTAATTGCGCGAAACTCAGCCCTTGCGCGATATAACCCTTGCGCGATCCCTCTTTCTTGCGCGAAATAGAAGCTGCCCAGCCCGGACCGAACCCTTAGTGAAAATCTTGGTGTGGGCTAAACGTAAACCAAAAACAATTAAGACCGGACCCAACTTAGACCAAGACCGATAATCTTTTTAATTAATTGGGCCCCACTTAACAAAAAAAAAACACATTAAAGGGCCCAAATGACAAGAAGTTGTGGACTTAGCCATTTTTGATCAAATGCTCTAATCTGTTTATCATTTTCAGATTGAAATGGCTGCCAACACTCCAATCAACATGATCTATGCTAGGGAACAATGGATCCCAATCAAGGAAAACAACTCACAGTTGGACCCTGAGGTGTTCTCATGCCAAGATGACGTGGTCGTCTCTATTCTGAAAGGCCACAAGCTGTGGAAGGCCCTGAGCAAAAACGCTGAAGTCCCTCAGGTGTATCTCCAACAATTCTGGGGTACACTTGACAAGGACGTGGATGCAAATGGCAGGCAAATCGATGACGTGCTAGCTGCCACAATCTGCAACACCCGAGTCACAATCACGAAGGAGCTCGTCCAACAAGTGCTACAGATCCCGGAGGAGGAACATTATGACGCGTTGGTCCCAGAGGCACAAGTAATCGCTGACATGATCACTCTTGGCCACGCACAGCCTCTCCACGTGATGTCAGAAATCAAGACGGCTCGCTTGCCGCGCCCATGGAGGACACTGATGGCTACTCTGAATAAGTGCTGCACTTCCAAGCACACTGGATTCGACAAGTGCAGTGCTTACCTTGTGTATATCTTCCATGGGATCGCCTTCATGAAGAATTATGACTACACCGCTCTAATTTGGAGTGAGTTCTTGGAGATGAGGAGAAGGAAATTCGACACTAATCTGATCAAACATCTACCATACATGAGATGGTTCTCCCTGCTGGTGCGACACTTCTACAGAACAATTCCTACAATTCAAAGGCGCAAATCATCTGAGAATGTCAGCACTCCAGCCCTCCAATACTTGAAGAGAATGCCAGAGGTACGCACATTGGTACCATTACCTATTCCTGTCCCTCTCCTCCTGCTAGCCGGTCGCAATGATCCACATGTTATACGCTACAGCGAGGAGAATGGTGTCATACTCCCTATGGCTCAGATAAACCCCCCTGAGCCTACCCCGGGGAGTCAGCCGAGAGTAAGTGAGGGTCCTGAGAGTTCAACCCGGCCACAGAGACCAGTGGCAAGCCGGCCCCATGATGATCAGACTATGTCTGCTGAGGGCCACACCCGTGCTGAGGAGTCTACCCGTGATTCGCCAAGCGTAGCCACAACACAAGACGCTGACGATGAGGGCTCTGGGAGCAAGGCTGAGGACGACAACGATGATGATGATGAGGATGACAACAATGCCAATGCAAAGGGCAAGAAAGTCGAGAAAGCCCGCGCTAAGAAAGGACGACTCGTTATCAGGCTTTCTCGGGCTACAACACAAGAGCAGTCTCACCAAATCAAGGAAGTGATAGTGGCAACCTTTGCATTGCATAATTATATTCGGAAGAACTCCGGTGAAGACTTACTTTTCAATTTCATTGAAAATAACCCGGACTACGACCTAAATGAAGACCTAGCGGATGCACAAGGCATAAATTCAAGTGATGCTACATATATTAACACATCAAGTGAGATGAAGGAAGTCCGCAATAATATTGCCAATTTAATTTGGAATGGTAGTCACTAGTATAAGAGAATGACACTTGTATGTCTTGCAATTTACTTTGTCATATTCAAATTGAATTTTGTTATATTTTTATTAATGTTAAAATCATAAGCTATGAGGAACCTAAAAATCAGGATGTTTCAATTGAGAATGAAAAATACTCTTTCGTGTATTAGCATGTGCATGCATGTTTTATATTTTCCGTTAATTAAAAATATTAGTTCATGTCCTTAATTGTAAATTTGTAATTTCAGCTACTTACAACAGATAGTTTTGCCAAACACGCCTATTTAAAACAGTCAGCTTTTATGAAACAATTACGGTCTTTTCCGTCTGCAAGCTTTTCAGCTCAAAAAAGCTAACAGTTACTAAAAAGTCTAAAAAAGATCTTTTCAGCTTCTCGGGCCAAACATAGCCTATGCATAGGAAAGTGAAATGAAAAGTACTACCAAAATTAAAAGTCCAATTAAAGTAACTAATTTAGGGTTGGTAAAAAAATTGAAAAGCAGTGTACGGAACCGTATGGATACACCAAATCGATATTTCGTGTACCAGTCCCGCATTGATCGAAAACGGGATGTGATGAATTTGCACTTTTAATATTTTACATTTCATCAAGACATTAAGCAATTCATTTTTAAGTTTAAATTCCATCCAGAAAAAGCTTGGGATACGTATAATTTAGAAAATTAATGTGGCAATACGTGTCATATGCATGACTGCATTTGCTAATTGCTATACACAAGGACGGATGCAAGATTTCGAGTTAAGGGGGGCGATTTTTTTCGTTGGTGTATGGGGTGAAAAAATTTCCTCTAGTGTAGTAGGGGGGAAATTTTTTCGCTAGTGTAGCGGCGCGAATTTTTTTCGCTAGTGTAGGACTTTGCGGCTAATTTTGTTCGAAAAATTCCATGAGTAAATACACGATGACATTTAAATTTATTATACGGATTATTACATTCTAATTTGAGACAATGGAAGAATAACTTTGATTTAATAATTGTTAGTGCTCTAGAAAATTATTTGAATATAAGAAAGGATATAACATTTTATCAAATCATTTGAAGGTTAAGAGTTTAGGACAGTGGCGGAGCCACACTATGAGTTGTGGTGTCAATTGACACCACTCAACTTTTTCTTCTTCATATATAGGTATATATAATTTTTCAAAAAATTAAAATTGACACCACTGAAAAAAATAGAAATTGTTTAATATAAGACTAAAACATACACAAAGTAAAACAAATAGGAATTATTGTGTTTTATTCTCCAAATAGGGTTTATTTAGTTCTATCAAAAGAATAACAAGATTAAAACTTCCAAAATAGGAGCGAATGAGTCCTATTTTGGAAATAAAACATTCATATTCCTATTTATAAATTTTATCTATGTTTTAGTCCTATTTAGAGAATTTTCTAAAAAAAACTATATACGGAGTATAAATATATAATCCTTCAAAAAATAAAAATTGACACAGCCATTTAAAAAATGGAGGTCAGTGTATATATATTTTAAAAGCTGGAACACTAACATAAAAATAATTGTAAAGTGTACAGTTTTAAGTATTACTACTGCCTCTATCCCAATTTATGTGTCTTGTTTTGCTTTGACACAATTGTAATAAAGTGATTGAAAAACTAATAATGTTAATCAAGTTTGAGACCATTAATTAATAATAAAATGAAATGTTGTAGACCACATATTTCTTTTTAAAAGAAGAAACATGACACCTATTTTGCGATAATCCAAAAAAAAAAGTTAAGACATGTGAAATGAGACAAGTGATACTCTATTAGGAATATTACTATATTAGACAAGATGTTATAGTCTTCTTTCTTTAAAGTTTGAATTAATTGATCGACACTTGATAGAAAAAATGTACTCTCTCCATCCTATTGGATTTCGCCAACTGGCCCAACTGTCACCTACTTTGCACTTGGCAAAGTCTACTGGGACGGAGGTAGTATACCGCTTTTAAATATGAAAATGTGACGTACACAATTTTGAATTAGCATTATTTCAATATTATAAATGACAATTTTTGTTATTTTGATTTATAATATTTACACATTTTGGTATAATAATTATTTTCTCAATTGACACCACTGACCCTAGATCCTGGCTCCGCCACTGGTTTAGGAAAAAGTCACATAAATAATCTCAACTATTACTCATCTTCCAATATTAATCTCAACTATGGGTAATTCTAAAATAATCCTAACTTTATGGGCTCTCTTCCCAAATTGATCTCAGGTTACTGGGAACTTGCTAAACCAGTAAAAAAAATTTAATAATAGAGGCTTTTCACCGGCATAAGTCGTCTTCCATCTCCAGCGTTCCTCCATCTCGGCGTTCGCCCTCTCCTCTGTGGCTCTGTCTACTTTGCGACCTGATCTATTCTATCCAAAATTCCAAGAATCTAAATTTATCATGGATGGATGAAAAACTTAAATCAAATGGGGGATAAGTTTCTAGATGCGGTGGAGGGAGAGAAGAAAAAAAAAACAAAACAAAAGATCAGAGTAACCATAGCCACTAACGATGAAGAAGAAAAGAGAGGAAGAAAATCGGGAAAGAGTTTGTCGAGAAAGCTGGGAAAACCTAGAGTGATGTCGGATTGGAGCGGCATAAGGCTGGGGAGCAATTTTGCTTCTTCTAAGAGGTTTTCTTTCTTCTTCGCTCAGTTCTTCCATTAATAAACCATTGATCGAGATAAAACTTCCTGGAGAGAGATATACTCTTTGGGTCATAATAAATTTTCGATCTTTCACTCCACTCTTAAAGAGCTTTTCTTTCTTCTTCACTTTGTTCTTTTGTTAGGTTACCCAGTATTTTTGAATAAATACTACGGAGTACTTCGAATAAAACATTGTAGAGAAAAACATCATTGAACATAGCCACTCCCTATTCATGGGCCACACACGGTAAAGAAGGAGAATTTAAAAAAGAGAGAATTTTCCAAATAGGATTAAAAGATATGAAAATTGCAATTATAGGACTACTACTTCTTCCTGTGATCCCGTAGGACTAAAATTAGAATGAAATGCCGATATTGCCCGTCATTCCTTTTTCTTAAGTCTGCTACTTGCGAATTGAATCTGCGATAAGTGCAGACGATAGAATTGAAGGCCCATATGCCAAGAATGTCGGCGGTGACCATGCTATCCAGGTACGTTTCCTCCTTCTCAGCCTCTTCCTTCGTTTTCTCCTTCTCACGTTCCCCCTGTTTTCTTCATCCACTTTCTATCTAATTTCTTCTCGATCTTTTCAATTTTTTTATTAATTCTAATTAGTTTAATTTAAAATATTCATATTATTTTCCTGATTATTTGAACATGAAAATGTCATAATTGTAATTTATTTAATACTGATTTAAAAAATAGTCAGTGTAATGTCATCACTTATCAAGGTGACATTTTTACTTTACATATTTATTGCATTTTCAGAGCAAAATATGACATTTTCATAGAGTAAAAATGTCATTATGATGACATTCTGAGAATAAGCATGACATTTTTTAAAAAGTGAAAGGAAGAACAAATGACATTGCTAAGGTGACAGTTTCAAAGAAGAAAATGACATTTCCAAAAAGCAAAATTGTCATTTTCATGACATTTTCAAAACAAAAATGACATTTTCAGGTTGTCATCCTAGTAAATGTAGTGCCACAAAGGTGACATTTTTTTCAAATGAGCAATAATTTTTACATTCTCAAATTATAAAAGTGTCATTTCCCTGAATAAATGAAACTCAAATCCAAAAAAATCCAAATTAATAGATAAAATTCAAACCCAAAAAATCCAAAGAAGAAGAGAACATAGGACTTGAAATTTGAAGAAGAAGAGGAATGCGAGGAAGATAAAGACATTGGAGGAGGAAGAGTAAGAGAAGGGATACCTGTATTTAATTTCTGAAATATAATTGATGGAATTTTTTATCACAAAATTTAATGCAGTAGAGAGATTAGCAAGGGATAACAGCGGCCTGGAACTAAATTGGAGCTAGAGGGAAAGATGAGGAGAGGAAGCGCAGAAACAAAAATTGGAGCTGGAGAGGAGGAGGAGGGTTATGAACGGGAGAAAGGCGATGAGTAAGACAGGGGCACTATGGACATTGCGTAAACATTAAAAACGCGAAAGAGGAGCAGATAACTCCTATAAAGGAAATTAAACATTATAACTCCTACTTTGAGTTTTTAACCATGTTTTGGTCCTATTTAGGATAAATTCTTTTTTAAAAAAGGAAGAACATGGGAAAAAACAGCCCGCTGCTAGCAGCCTTCTTCGTATTATATTTCTGGTCAGAAATCGTCTCGGATCCATGGAAGATAAGAGGAAAAGAGGAACGAAAACTAAATAAGGAAAAATCAGAAATATAATCGTCTCGGATCCATGGAAGATGAGAGAAAAAGAGGAACGCAAAAGAAATAAGGAAAGAAGAAGAAAATTAAAACAGCCAATGAGAATATGTCACATGTATAGGTGACCTGCTAAATTGGTTTAAACAGGTCACAGGATTGTTTTGAGAAGATGCTCACTATAATTGGGATTATAATGATATTATCAACATTTGGGATTATTATAAGAAGATGACTAATAGTTGGGATTATTAAAAGGTACACAAGGACCGATGCTTTTTAAATAATTTATACTTTTGTTAAACCACATTAATCTTATCGGAATAAAGAATTGATTTTTGAATTGCAATCTTTGTCTACGAAGGAGCGTATTCATGAATCACGAGAAGTTTTCTTAACATTACAATACTATGTATGGGATTATTAGTTTTAGAATAATATGATATGTAGTAGTGTTGATTCATATATATACATGGTGCATCTTATATCTGTATTAATGCTAAAATAAGTTAAAGTTTATGATCTATTCAACAAATTGTTTTTACAAAGTAAGAAGTAAATTGATTGTGTAATTTAGTGTCAACAAACATTTATATATTGGATTCACTTTACATCATCTAAAAATTGTTTAACTATTGTGTGATATTTAATATCATTGATATTTTACAAAATTGAGTACTAATTATCTAATAAAGATAATTAAACATTACAAAACTAAGAATTTTGATATAATAGGTATCCTAAGTCTTAAACAATGAGTTGTTCTATTGTTTATTTGTTTAAATTATGTAAATTATTTTAGATTTTACTTCTTTTAAATCTCCAATTAAGTATTACATTATGTGACCTTATATATTAATTTTGAAAACTAAATAATAAGGGGGGTGATACGTTTGTAATTTCCGTGTGTTTATTTACATTTTTAGTTAGTTTTGGTTGTTTAGTATTTCGGAAATTACACACTTTCGGTGTAATAGTTTAGTTTGTTAAATTCTTGTAAATTGTTTAGATTAGGTTTATTCTGAGCTCAAACAGGTCTAACATCACTCAAAGACAGTTGGTGAAACCCAAAAAGTGGAAAGAACGTGCAAAATCACAAGACAAAAGAAGGAAATCCTGATTTTTGTCTATACTCGGTCGAGTATCTCCTATACTCGATCGAGTATCTGGTTGAAATTTCAAATCGGATCGGATCCGAAAACAAAGGAACATGCAGAAGAAGATTTCCCCACGATCGAGTGTCTATACCCGATCGGGTACACCGACATACTCGATCGGGTATAGCTATGAATTCTACTATAAATTTGATCGAGTATGGATCGAATTTAGCTTTCTGCACATACTCGATCGAGTACATATATATACTCGATCGAGCACCCGACCTGCACCCCAAAAAGCCTATAAATACACCTCCTTTCCTTCACAATATGACTACCTGTTGAGTTTAATCCAACACGATATAGTAAATATATGTATAAATGTGTATGAACAACTCAGTTTTTACGTGGAAACCCGAAAGGGAGAAAACCACGGGACTTTTTAGGCTAATGTCCAAGCCCTCTCAATTCTCATTAGGACTCTCCTCACCATTACATAGTACAATTTGAGCTCCCATTAATGGAGTCTTGCAAGCTATTCTAGAGAAAGTAAATGAGTTGGGGAAGAAGGAAAAAGATCCTTTACATGGAGGCTAAGCTCCGTATTTATAGGGGAGGGGAAGGGGAGGCTCTCCACCCTAATGGGCCGCATGGGCCGAAGTGGGCCTGGTGGTCAAAGTGGGCCGGATGGGCCGAAATGGGCCTAGCTGCTCGGGCTCCGTACTGGATAATGTCTTGGGCTCCTGAACAGTAATAGGCCGGGATAATATATCCCAACACAAGTCCCCCAGTTTCTTGAGTAGTGAGCGTGCGAATCTGCTCGAGAAAGTATACTCTTGCCTGCGCTCTTCCTCTGTCTTGCTGGAAACTGCGTCTTCGAATAATCATAATATACGAGTGGGTGTCTGCACTCCTGAACGTAATCTGCCGGTGAGGCACCCCCCTTCCCGACGGGGTCGGGCGAAGGGTGCTCCTCCACGGGCACACTCCCCCTGAATGCATCAGGCGGGAGTAAAGGACTCTGACTCGAGCTTTCCAATCGGAGAAGCTTAGAGGTCCATGCATCTATAAACCGACGTCGCGGTACTGTCAAAACATGATGCACGTGTGTATGCATGAATGTATGAGGTATGATGCATGAATGCATGAATGCATGTAATGTATGGGTGCAATGTATGAGAGAAGGAATGTGAGATGTGATAGAAAGTGGTGGCTCTCATCGATAAACCGGGCATGTCAGCGCCGAGAGGCAGACGTGCTGCATAAGACACGTTCGTCGCCATCCTGGAAGGGATGGGCGACCCTAACGTGAGCCAGACACGATGGCGCTGGGGCGCTGATCGTGCTGCATAAGAGACGTTCGTCGCCATCCTGAAAGGAATGGGCGACCCTAACGTGAGCCAGACACGATGGCGCTGGGGCGCTGATCGTGCTGCATAAGAGACGTTCGTCGCCATCCTGAAAGGAATGGGCGACCCTAACGTGAGCCAGACATGATGGCGCTGGGGCGCTAATCGGGCTGCATAAGAGACGTTCGTCGCCATCCTGAAAGGGATGGGCGACCCTAACGTGAGCCAGACACGATGGCGCTGAGAAGCCGATCGTGCTGCATAAGACGGTCGTCGCCATCCTGAAAGGGATGGGCGACCCTAACGTGAGCCAGACACGATGGCGCTGGGGCGCTAATCGGGCTGCATAAGAGACGTTCGTCGCCATCCTGAAAGGGATGGGCGACCCTAACGTGAGCCAGACACGATGGCGCTGAGAAGCCGATCGTGCTGCATAAGACGGTCGTCGCCATCCTGAAAGGGATGGGCGACCCTAACGTGAGCCAGACACGATGGCGCTGAGAAGCCGATCGTGCTGCATAAGACGGTCGTCGCCATCCTGGAGGGAATGGGCGAGCCGAACCGTGAAGCCAAGTACGATGGCGCTGAGGGGCCGATCGCACTGCATAAGACGTTCGTCGCCATCCTGGAAGGGAATGGGGCAATCCGAACGTGAACGAGACACGATGGCACTGAGAAGCCGATCGTGCTGCATAAGACGGTCGTCGCCATCCTGGAGGGAAATGGGCGAGCCGAACCGTGAAGCCAAGTACGATGGCGCTGAGGGGCCGATCGTACCGCATAAGACGTTCGTCGCCGTCCTGGAAGAGATGCGCGATCCGAACGTGAAAGAGACACGATGGCGCTGAGAAGCCGATCGTGCTGCATAAGACGGTCGTCGCCATCCTGGAGGGAATGGGCGAGCCGAACCGTGAAGCCAAGTACGATGGCGCTGAGGGGCCGATCGCACTGCATAAGACGTTCGTCGCCATTCTGGAAGGGAATGGGGCGATCCGAACGTGAACGAGAC